AATATTTGCAACAAAGATTAAAGCCCTCACTGAGTGAAGTCTAGCTGTCCAGCTATTCATTTCTCCAAGCTGAAAGCAGCAGATGTGTGTCGGAGGATTTTTCCTGTGCCATCTGGAGCAAGATTCTTCACAGAAGACCAGCTTCTGGGTGTTCCTGTCTACATGAATCTACTCTGCATATGTGTATGCTAGATTCCTGCTGTTTGCATACCCCAACATGAGTTATGGGCCCAGTATGCATGTAGGCAATGCCTAAGTGGTTGTAAGAGTTCCAAAATTGCCAGTGGTGCTGCTGAATCCACAGAGGGTGAAGACCAAGTCCTGAAACTGAGTAAGTTAAGTCTATTCCTCACTGTCAGTATCAGTTATTAGTGTGCTGCGGAAGGCCACATGTTTTGGCTGCTTGCCCAAGCTGTTGACAGTTTGCCCAGAAGTCCATGTGCATCTGTTTGTTGATGACACAGAGCAGAAAAAATATGGAAACAGCTATTAGATTTCAGAGGCTGAGTGAATCAAATTAAGCTTCTTGGAAAATATATATGCAAGCTTTACTGATAAAATACGACTTATGGAAAATAGTGCAAAATCAACCAGATCGAACAGATGTCTATCAGATCGATGATGATTGCAAGGCACAAGGTTCAATTGTTCAAGCCTTAGAAGAAAACCAGCTGAATCACATCAGAGAAAAGCAGACAGCTTTTGATGTGTGGCATGCCTTGGAATGAGTTCATCAGCCAGATGGACAGTCTTCACAGAAAGACTGTGTTGTAGAAAACTGTACGGCTGTAGGTTGCAGAAGGGTGCTTCTGTAACTACTCGTCTGGGAAAAAATGCAAGGCTTGTTTGCAGAGTGCAACAACAAAAGCATCCAAATGGAGGAGTCTCAAAAAGTCTTCATTCTCCTGAGCAGCTTGACCAGTGAGTGGGACTTTTTGATGTATGGCCTACATGGAGTCGCCGAGGCAGATCTGAGAACTGAGTTTGTTGTTTCAAGAATCCTGGAGGAGGTCCAGAGATGTGACTTTGAGGAGAGATCCAGAGAAGCTGGGGAAACAAGCTGGAGACAACCAACCACGTCCCAGGAGGGGAGTGCTGCCATCTGCAGGACTAAACAGTGCTTTTCCTGTGGAGAGACTTGATATTTCAGGAAGGACTGTCCAAGAGTGTCTGTAGCAAAGAAGGGACAGTCTTCATAGAAGAAAAAGCCACAAGAATGGAGGGGTTTTTTTTTTCTGCTGTGGAGGGTGTTGTGAATGGGAAGAAGGGAGACCCAGTCTAGATTTTGGACAGTGGTTGTTCTCACCACATGGTAAGAGGAGAGTACAGAACCCAGCATCAGTAAACACAGTGGTGTTTACTGATGGTGAATCTGGTAAAGTACAGTTTAAAGGGTCTGTATTCATCCCAGTGCTGGGGAAAACATTTGGTAATGTTTTGTGTGCACTTAAACTGCAGAATTCCCTGACTAATTATGGGTTTGAAGTCCATTTTAAAAGGGATGAGGGATTAATCTCCAAAGAGGGGGTAGTGTGTGGTAAAGCTGTAAAGAAAAAGCAGGTATACCACATGAGGGCATAGATAAAGTGTGGCAGTGTTGCAAACAAACTATTACATGAAAATTGTGCACACTATTTTCGTAGGGTAATGGGGCACACAAGTTTCAAAGGTTTGAGAAACCTAGAGAACGTTTGTCCAGAGTTCAAGGTGGAACAACGCAACAGCTACCTTGATTGTGCAGTGTGCAAAAGGGTGAAAGTCAAGGCTTACCTGGTTGTCAAAGTAAGCAAATGCACCACCCAGAGGCCTTTTCAGATTGGGCACATAAATTTGTCAGGATCACACCAAATCAAGAGCATGGGGGGAACAGGTTTACCCTGCTCATAATAGACTGACACACCTGATACTCATAGATTCATAGAATTATAGAATCATAGAGTTAGAAGAGACCACAAGGGCCATCCAGTCCAACCCCCTGCTATACAGGAACTCAAAACCAAAGCATCCCCAATAGATGGCCATACAGCCTCTGTTTAAAGACCTCCAAAGAAGGAGACTCAACCACACTCCGAGGGAGTGTGTTCCATTCTCGAACAGCTCTCACTGTCAGGAAGTTCCTCCTCATGTTGAGGTGGAATCTATTTTCCTGTAGCTTGCATCCATTGTTCTGGGTCCTATTCTCTGGAGCAGCAGAAAACAAGCTAGTGGCCTCCTCTATATGACAGCCCTTCAAATATTTAATGAGGGTTATCATATTTCCTCTTAACCATCTCTTCTCCTGGTGAAACATACCCAGTTCCCTAAGTCGTTCCCCATAGGGCATGGATTCCAGAACCTTCACCATTTTAGTCCTGACCACGAGATCACTCTCAGTGTTTCTCTAAGTTTGTTGAAATCAGCTCTCCGAAAGTCTAGAATGAGTGTTTGACTACCTAGCTTCTTCTTTACACTGTACATGAAATTCCAGGAGAACATGATCACTCCCATCTAAGGATCCCACCATTTGCACCCCATTTACCAGGTCATCCCTGTTGGTTAGGATCAGATCTAAAATAGCTGTTCTCCTTGTTGCCTCTTCCACCTTTTGGACAAAGAAATTGTCTTAGAGGCAAGTGAGGAATTTGCTAGACCTTGAAGTATTGGCTGAGTTTGACTTCCAGCAAATATCAGGATAATTGAAGTCACCAATCACTACTACATCTCTCCTTTCTGAGTGTGTGGTCATCTGTTTTCAAAAGACATCATCAAATTCCTCTGTCTGACTTGGGGGTCTGTAGTAAACTCCCACTACAACATCCCTGTTGTTTTCTTCCCTTTTAATTTTTATCCAGATGTTCTCCACCTGATTTTCAGAATTTAAGTCCTGGATCTATTCACAGGTGTAAACATCCCTGACATATAATGCTATTCCTCCTCCTTTCCTGTTTGGCCTATTTTTCTTAAAAATGTTATACCCCTCTATTCCTACATTCTAATCATGAGACTCATACCACCAGGTTTCAGTGATTCCTATTATATCATATTTGCTTTGTTGTGCTAGGAGTTCAAGTTTATGTTGTTTATTTCCCATGCTCTGTGCATTAGTGTAGAGACATCTAAGACCATGGGTCCTCACTACTTGATGCCTGTGTGAAGTTCTTTGCCTCCTACTGTTGCGCCCTTGCATCATTTGCCTTGTTCCTTCTATAACACTTTGACCATTATCTCCGGCTCATGATGTACTTCTGCCTTCCAAGATACCTTCCAAGATACTGTCTCCCTCCCCCAACATGACTCCGTTTAAAGCCTTCCTGATAAAATGTTTGAAACTATTGGCAAAAATGTGAGACGCTAGAAGTCCACCCTCATGGAACCACAGCTCATGATCCAAGAATTCAAATCATTCTTGGCGACACCATCTATGGAGCCAGTTATTCACATCTGCTATCTTCCTCTCTTTTCCTGGACTGGGAGAAGAAATGAAATGACAACCTGTGCATCCAGCTCTTTCAGCTTCCTACCTAAAGCCTCATTATCCCTTCTGATATTCTGAAGACTATGCCTTGCAGTATCATTGGTTCCCACATAGACCAAGAGGAAGGGCTAATGGTCAGTAGGCTTGATAAGTCTTGTCAGCCTTGCTGTCACATCACGGATTTTTACCCCAGGGAGACAACACATCTCCTGGGACATCTTGTCAGGCTCACAAACCTCTGCTTCTGTACCCCTCAACAGGGAGTCCCCAACCACTACCACATGTCTCCTCTGAAGCTTAGCAGTGGCTGTTCCCTCCGATGGTACTCTTTAGGTCTCCTGCACTGTCCGTGAGGACTGTCTTTGTTGCTCTTCCTCTTTATCCTTGATAAGGGAGAGAGTTTCAAATCAATTCTGTAGCTGCAAGCTCCCAGCA